AATCTTCTTTTATATCTATTTGATTATTATTATAACATAAATAATGATTTGATAAAGATAATTATTTAGTTCCATCAACATCTGAAATAGCATCGAGTATAACTGAGTAGAATTTGTTTTTCAATTATACGATGAACAATTCCTCTTATCATGTCACCACAAATATTAATTAATTGATTTTGAATTTTGAACTCATTTACATAGTATTCTTAGCAGAAGACTTTAGATGTTGTTTCAATACTGTATCTCCACGTTTCAGTACGAAAAAGAATTAAAATTCTTCGAAATTTCTTAATAGAATCAAAAGATTATATAATACATTTATTCGAATGCAAAATTCGATTACCTAGATGATCAATTGGTTTATGAGCAATATCATTATCATCATGGCCTCTGAAGGCTAAGTTTTGTTTACCAATAAAAAGAGTATATTCAATAATACTTGATAGAATTTTTCTGTTTGTAGCTTCTTGTTGCTAATTTTTATTATCTAATATATGATCGATAGATTTGTTGAAATTAATATAATTTACAATGAAATTTTCAGCTTATTCTTTAGAAAATGAGTGATAATCAGTATTTTCATGTATTTGAATATAAAGATAAGCATTGTATGATGAAGTTAATGGTTTTAATACTAGTTGACTAAGAGGATTTTTAGCTGGATCATAAGCAGACCATCTTCGTTTGAACTAAACACAATATCGACATAAATCTCCTTGAAGCGTAAGAGAATAATTAAGCAATGGATATGTAGATAACCAAGAATGTCGACAAACTGATCGTATTCTTTGATGCACATTAACTTGTAAGAATTTAAATGTACTTGATGGTGTCCATGAATCTGTTAACATAGGATATATTTCAGCAGTTGATACATTGTCTTTATTAACAAATAAACCGACATTGTTTTTGTTATATGTTTGAATATCCGTACTAACTAAATTTCTGTGATCAGTTTGTTTTAGCTTTTTTATCAGAGAAGTATTATCGATTTCAAAAGTTAATACAGTAGATATTTCATCAAGAGTCTTAATAGGTGGTAATGAAGATTCTTTGTGTTCTTCTTGTGTAATAGCAGGTGAACTTGGTCTTGCTCTTTTATTTGATGAAAAAAAATGTGCGAAATTTAGTTATTTATTTACTTCAAGGTTATTTTATTCATTTCAAGTTTTCGTTGATTACTGTCACCATTATCAAGAAAAAATATAAGACACAATTAAGAGAAAAAACTATCATATGCCGTATGTATCGGTTGATTTTGACAGATACAAATTGAGAGAAAAGAATATGTGTTCCCGAGTATATGTTCTTTCTGTCTATTTTTATCTGTCAAAATCAGCTGATATATACAGTATATGATAGTCTTTTCTTTTAATTGTATGTTATGTTTTTTCTTGATAATGGTTACAGTAACCACCAAAAGCTCGAAATAAATAAAAGAATCTTGAATTTTGAAAAACTTCTATGTACTTCATAGCAGTCATTTATTCGTTAATCTTCTCATGCATGTCACTGTTACAATTCTATGTTTTTTAGTAAAATTCTTACAAGAGCAAAACTTCAAGAGGAGTGTCAGGGCACCTTGTACACTGTCCCTGACTATGCCTCTGTATGTTCTGTTGCTCATCAGATGGACACTTTCAGAAACAGAGAATGTATCATATAAAAAATTTCTTTTCTCCTCTTTTGGGTCTATAGATTAACAGAGTTGTGTAGAATTTAAAATGTTGCATTACCCTGATAAGAAACTTAGGATGATCTATTACTTCTCATCTGAAACATTTCAAAAAGAGTAAAAATCCCAAAACTTTTAAAATACTTGATATTGACCTTAATCTTACGATTGTCTATTATGCATTTCGTAATAGTCGAGAGAAAAACAGATGAGAAATTCGAAACAAAAGAATAATGGCTTGAACTTTCAAATGTAAGTTTGCAATTGTTACTAATTAACTTAACTTTATAGTATTGGATGAAACTGAATAATTGACTCAAATAAATTACATAAACTGTAGAGCTATGTTTCAATAACAAAGTAGCCTTTTGATATATACCCCTGGAAAAAATAAGCTTTAGCCTGTATTTTGGGGATATCGTTATCATAGCAGCGTATTTTTTAATAAATAATGATATATTCTGAAAGCGCGTGGAGTTTTCTATCAGTCTGTATATTTGCCTTTTCATTTGAATATATATATTACCAAAACAAATTGAGTGTAATGAAGGCACCCTCATATCCAGATTCTCACAGACTTGATTTTGTCACTGTCATCAAAATTAGTTTTTTAAATTTTTCATCACTATAAAATTATCTTCTGAAAAAAGTAATTATATATTCTGATAGAGCTTGAAATTCTCTATCATCCTATATATTTACTTATTTCTTTATATTAATTTCTCGAAAAGAAAATTTGAGTACGGTGAACGCACCGTCAATTGACAAGTACCAAAAATTTGGGTTTTTCGTTGCTTCCAGAGTTCTATTTTTAAATTTATGATTCTTATTGAAAAATTTATTTTTAAAAAGCAATCATAGATTTTTATAGGGCTTGAAATTCTCTAGCATCCTGTACATTTGTTCACTATTTTACATTTATGTGCCGCAGCACATTCAGTACATAAATGCAAGGCAAGAAAAAAACATATAGGATAATAGAGAATTTCAAGCTCTATCAGAATCTGTAATTCATTTTTTAAAAATTTATTTTTCTACTAACTATATTTTGAAAAAAGGAAAAAAGTAACGATTTTCAGTACTTGTCAATTGACGGTGCGTTCACCGTACTCAAATTTTCTTTTCGAGAAATTAATATAAAGAAATAAGTAAATATATAGGATAATAGAGAATTTCAAGCTCTATCAGAATATATAATTACTTTTTTTAAACGATAATTTTATAGTGATGAAAAATTTAAAAAACTAATTTTGATGACAGTGATAAAATCAAGTCTGTGAGAATCTGGATATGAGGGTGCCTTCATTACACTCAATTTGTTTTGGTAATATATATATTCAAATGAAAAGGCAAATATACAGACTGATCGAAAACTTCACGCGCTTTCAGAATATATCATTATTTATTAAAAAATACGCTGCTATGATAACGATATCCCCAAAATACAGGCTAAAGCTTATTTTTTCCAGGGGTATATATCATTTCAGCTATCATGGTTTGCTTTATCTTTGTTCAGAATGATAACATTCAAATAAAATCTTCCGTTATTTTCTGCTCAGTTTTGATGTAAGACAAAGAAAATTAAAATGTACACATTTTTATTTAGTGTAATCAAATTTGAAGCTTCACTAAGAGACAAAAAAACAGCAGAAAAAACGTAGGTAATGCATGCTTTACATGAATAAATAATACAAAAAATTGATTGTTGAAATAAAATGAAAGAGAAACTTCATTAAGTTGTGTATGTTTGTCAATTATGTTTATTGACGTTGTTGGTTGTTGCCAGCAGCACCTTGTTGTGGGTTTTGTTGGTTTTGTTGTTGATTTTGTTGATTTTGCTGATTTTGTTGGTTTTGTTGTTGTTTGTTTTGTTGATTTTGTTGTTGTCCAGCTTGAATAGATAAAACAAAAGATATTATATATTATTCTGCTCTATGAATAAAATCGATTTTGATATGAATTCTTTAAAGAAAAAATTATCACTTGAATGATTTTGAAAAAATTTTGTCGGATATCTTTGATAGTTTTCCAAAAAATAAAAACTCAACTTTCTCATTGTTTTGCTTTCACTAGTTTTTCTACACAATTATACTCAATAGAAAAAAATATATTAATATGTTCTCTCTTGACTCAACTAAGATTTTAAATTGAAGTTTTAGAATAAAAATAAAATAATGAATTTATTCATACCAAGATTTTGTGCAGCTTGATTTGAACCAGCACCTCCTAATTGTTGATTTTGATTTTGTTGATTTTGGTTCTGATTTTGTTGGTTTGGATTTTGTTGATTTTGATTTTGATTTTGTTGATTTTGATTAGCATTTTGTTGTTGATTTGATGACATTGTAAATGTTTTATTCACAAGAGAAAATAATTGTTTGTAGCTTATTTGAAAGTTTTGTATGTCAAATAGCGTTGAAGGTGCGTCTTATATAGGTACGATACTGCGCAATTGTAAAATTGATTATCTTCAGTACATAAATTTCTCAATCGCAATAGAGAGAACGAAGCAAAAGAAAAAGAAAAAGAACAAAAACAGAAAAGAAAAGAAAAAGGCAAAGGT